TCTCACCAGTTTGCAGCTCAGAGACAAAAGTGATTTACTGGGGTTTAGCATTACACACTGTGATTATCCTCACCACACTTGTGTTCTTAACTCCAGAGGCAGAAAATSAGCTACATTAGCAGGAAATGTTTATCACCAAAAACCTGCCTCCATGGATTTTGTCCTGTGTTTGCCACAGGCCAGGAATGCACTTCATTACCACAGTTCAAATGATGTCTGGAGGATGATTAAATCAGGGTAACTCACTTCTATATCTGGTCCTTCTGGTTAACTAAAGCTTTCATTAAGAACAGACAATGTTTTTGCCATTGTGAGGCTTTGGGTTCAAGCAAAGAGTTAAATCCTGAAGAAGTGAACTTGCAAGGGGGAAGAATGAGAAGGGAAAGAGCAGAAGAAAGCAGCCCAGTAGAAAGTAAGAGTCAGAAATCTGCAGGAAAGAAACAGACCTGAGGTTCTGCTGTTACCCACACACTTRTAGAGAAATTCCTAAAGCTAAAATTTGGTCCAAAGACTAAAACTGAAACTTGGAACTGAATTTCCAACAGTTTAGATGAGGCTCAGGCTTAGGAGCTGGTTGTGGTCTCGGCACATCAAAAAGAAGGGCAGGCGCTTCAGCCAGTACTCTGTTTTGGACAATCTCAAACAACTTCTAAAGCTCCAGGAAATTGCCACCCTGAAGGACCAGGTCAGGGAGCCAAGGGGTAGCTCTCAGCCCAAACTAGGCTCAGCTTTCTGTCTCCTCTGAAAACACTAATGTGCCATTGGTSAGCCTGTGCTTGTGGTCAGATTACACCAAAGGGCAGAGTTCACTGTGCAGTGCTGTACATCAGCATCAGGCCCAGCAAAGTCAGGGAGATCAGATACTGCCAATTCATGCTGTCCCCAAGTCCTAGAGCAGCTCAGCTGCCTCGGTGTAGCACAATGTCAGGGATGCAGGGAGCACGTCAGAGGCAGCAGGAGCCCTGGTAATCACCAGCWGTACAGAGCAGGAGCATCCACACGTGGGCAGGCCAGGTGCTGGGCTTGGCACTGCCCAGAGCTGAGCCCAGCTGTCCCCATTCACACGTGTGAATGTGTCACACGTCAGGCTTGCCAGCATGCCTGGAGAGCTGGGCAGGTCAGACACCGTATCACATGGAGATTGAGATTTAGGCCAGTGGTATGTTCATCTCTGCTTCCACTCTCTMTTCTTTTCAACAATGTATTTCCTCCTCCACTGTCTCGGCGGAGAATTTGTCCTTCCATTGCCCTTGCCCAAACATAGCATCCTCCCATACATTCCCTATTCATCACCTCACCRCAGCTCCTCACCAAGCTGTGCATCAAGGGAACACGCTTGTGCAAAAGCAGCTCTTCCTAAAAAGCATTCTTATACAGAATTTGGAAGGATTTCTTTCCCTCCTCCAAGCATCATATGGAAAAGCAACCCCCACAATCCAGATTAGCAGCACAGTTATTGTCGTACATAGACCCTGCCACCAATCATGTGGGGGGAGAAAAGGCTCGCTACTGACCACAGTGGAGCTGGGCATCTCTGAATCGCTCTGCTGAGCTGTAAATATTAGTACATCAGCCTGAAAGACAGAGAGTTGGGAGACTTCTCCTATGCAGCAAGTGGAGAGCTAAACTCTGAACACAATTCAAATTACCCTTCTTGCACTCCCACCAGTGGCTCAGCAGTGGGCAAAACAAGTATTTTGCTAAAAGTCTGCCTACAGTTTCATACATTATTTTCTCCTGTTTTTTTTTTATTTTAAAGAAACTTCAACTCACGAAAGAAAACAAAAAATCAGAACTTCTAAGTATGGTCTATCAGCAAAAAGATGGCGGGTCTTATAACACTATAGATATTCTGTTATGTTTTTTTTTTGTTTGTTTCAATTCAGGATTAAGATTGGAAAAAAAAGGAAGAAAGCTCTGATGGATTTGGCTCCAGCAGTCAAAGAATACAATTTCTCGAGTTAAGCATTCTAGCAACTTCACTCTCCTTTCACACAAAATGATGAGGGGCTGTTACCAGCTGTGCAGCAATATATCTTCAGGTTTTATTATTTTGAATTTCATTTTTTAATGGATTTTAGCAGAACCAATATTATTCTTGGCAGCTTTAAAGGCACTAAAGACAGACTGCTGAATGGGGGCAGCAGTTTCTTTTTCAGGCATTAGCTATCGTTCACCCTCTAATTTCGCCACTTTCCTCCACCTTTCTTCTGTACAGATTTTTGTTTCTGAATAGGTATGAACAGGGGCAATTTGGGAATTCACTTTCTACAAGTTAATTTCATGGCACTTAGCAGACAAAGTGAAGCCACTTAAATGCAAGCTTATTATTATAAGCTGTTTCAAGCACTTGTCATCCTGGTGACTTTTTTCTCCATAGCCYGGAACCACATTCTATATATAACTAGACAGGGATGTGCAAAGTGTGACTTCAATTTTGCATTTGAACAAATATTTTTATTAATTAGGACCATTTTATTGTTAGTTCTCAACCTCAACCTGTCCTATAAGGGCTTTTCCAAAGCAAAACTATCCTCTAATCCCAGCTGCCCACCTTGCACTTGTTTAATAGTGGAGCTTGAATATCGAGTACTGAACGAGGCTGCAACGTGCTACATCCCACACGTTTCATGTGTCGAATCAAAACAAAAGGTCTCCCGATCCTACCCTTAGATGCTCCTGAGATATTTTCCCATTCCTAATTTCTCTCACAGCCCAAGACTGAGAGTTTGCATGGAAACAATTCAAACACAGCCTTCAAAAGAGACTACAACTCCTTCTTTGCTGGCAGCAAAACCATATCCATGTCTGTTTCAAAAAAATAGCAAGCAGAAGCTGGAATAGAGACACTACTTGGCACAGAGGTATCCTACTTGAACATGAGGCCCCTCATGTTCCCTCTGATATGCATATTCCAGAAAGCTTTTAGTAATGTTAGTCTGTGCTTTTTTTTCTCCTACTGTCACCCTGTGACTTCAGCTCTCCAACTGCTCTGGTTATCCCAAAGCCTGAAAACCTGGACCATTCTGAGGGTGTTCAAGTATTTTAGTTTTAAAGGTCATATTAAAAAGGGCTGGTGGCTAAAAAGCTGAGTCAGCTTTATCACTGCTAAAATGATATTTTAATCCAAAAATCTTTCTTTAAATGTAACTTGAGAAAACAGAACAAAGTAATAAAGAATGAAACAATTTTTGTTTTAAGAATAAAGATCTCCCCTGGTCTCTTTCAATATTTCAGATACTACCTTCCCCTTTAATCTGGGCTACTTAAGGAAATTGCAGTTTAAGTGGCCTCATCCCATTCAAACTGCCAGGTAGCATCCCCCTTCTCAAGGGAAGGATGCAAATCCAGTCTCCTTCACCTCATTTTTTGAGTATTTGTTTCCYTCTCATATTACATGGTTTCTGTTTCAACCTGCCTTTCCCTTCTTCACATTAACTGCATACTAATGAAGACGTGAATTTGTACATCCAAGATTTAAGAACTAATTCTTTGTTAGAACTTAATGAAGACACAGAGAGAATCTTTTCACATAGCAAAAAATACTACCCAGTCTTTGCAGTGAATGCACAACAGCTTCATGACTGCAAGCATCATGTAAGATGAAAGAGGGAACAGGGATTTGTGTGATTTTAAGTGCCCTGGCCTTAAATTCCATGCTGGGAGGAGAGCAGGGAGCTCTGGCAAAGCAAYTGGTTAATTATTCACCTAACCTGTACCAGGGGTTTGTATCCCAGACCAAAACTGAGCAAAGACAGTCATGCCAATGGGAAAACTCCCACTATCCCTGCTGCCCCTTCCCTACCCMCCAAAAAACCCCAAACAGCAACAAAATGCACACAGCACAAGTACGCAAGCAAACTGGGGCTGTTCTCACCCCACTGTGGACATACAGCACTGGGAGAGCAGGTGAGACAGAGAGATTTTCATATTTGGAAGTGGCAGAAAATAGACTGTAACTGAGGAATTGGTGTTTGCTCTCCTGAAAGTCAGTCATTAAAGCGCTGATGGATTTTAAAGGGACTCAGCTCTTAATAGCCCCTATATCATTACTACCTAATAGGCAAGCATTCATGGGTTTCAATGGAAAGCTGCTGATCTCTGCTCGCCATCAGCTGCCCGCCACCTCCTTGACACGTGGCTCCACCTCCTTCATCCAGAAAGAAGGGAAAGGAAACTGAAACAGTTTGCAGTTTCATCAGCTGCCCTTTGAAAGCGGGGAAAGAAGCAAGCTAAGCAAAATCAGTGCATAACAATAATGGCAATCATGGCATTGCATGCACTGTTACTAACAGCTTGGAAAAAGCACATGTGGGGAAAGACTAAACAATTAGCTATGGTCAGATAAGCATATTTATATTAAACACATGTGMATAAAATACACACACAGACAGAGAGCCAACTTTCCGTTTCTATTCTGTATTATATCTGCAAGACACAGCTTATGCAAGCTATTTCAGGATTGTCACTGGAAAGCCAGCCATGGACTAGGCATGGATTCCAATAAAGCACAAAATGAAATAGATAGCTGAAGCTTTGGTTTTGTCAGCATGAAGTTGCTGGAAGCTGCTCTGTGTCCTTGACTGCATTCAGAGCAGTGCTGGAATGCAGCCTATATCCATCTCTTAAGCCAAAGTATTTTTAGACTTTTGAGGATGAAATATTAGGAGACACAGAAAACAGGGAGCTAGAACCAGATTTGAAATTTCACTTTGAAAAAAGTTGCCAAGAAACAGACACCACACATACCATCATCCAAGGTACAGAACTGGCCACTGCTGTGACACAGGATGTCAGCCATGCTATCAAGAAACCTGCCAGAATAACTTGGGTCCCAGGTAGGAAGCCTCAAGAAGATGATGACATGCTGCTTGTGTGCTCAGCCGCATTCATGGGCTCTCTATAAAGCATTGTACCTTTAAAGGTGTACACCTGAAGTAAGCATGAGAACAGGCAATCCCTAGAGTCAAATCATCTTAGTYAGGCTCCTTGTTACTTACTACCTCTCTTGCTGGTGTTGGTAGACTGATGCTTGGCCTCTTCGCTCCTTGTCAGATCCCACCTTCTGGGTGTTTTCACTCTTCTCCGTTTCCCTGTTGCCATCCCAGGGATTATCCTGAGAGGAAGATGGAGTATTGGAGGCAGTGGCTGTCCTGTACCTGCTGCCTCCCCTCCATCCTCCAACCCCAGACATTGTTTTGCAAGTATCTTGCCTWGACAGAAACTAGTACTGCTGCTATAGCTAGGAAATGACCCAAAACTTTGGAGTTAGCACAAATGAGTTTCAATTCCTGGTAGGCTCCACCCCTTCCTGAACTTCGAACTGGCCGACAGGCAAGTACTTGCCCTGTCAAGTGAGCCCTGCTCCAGCTGAAGCTCAGGTCCGGTCATCTCAATCACAGTGCCCAGGCAGACAGGAGTCATGACAGCAAAGCTGATCTGTGCTAACAAACCAGATGACAACAGTTTGTGCASAAGCATGGGCAGGTCTGGCCATATTTCTGGCATCATTTTAACCCAGTGCTTCAAATTTACCTGTGACAGAGGGAGTAAYTCTTGGGGGTGTTATGACCCCTTGGGGCAGATTAGAGTTGAGCAACTATGAATGGTGTTTGCAAATACATGTGTATATATATATATGTAGGGTTTACTTTAGAAGAACTTGTTTGCAATGGAAAGCGGATACATAGCCATTTTGGTTATTATTATCTGTAATAATATGGCAATATGAAAGCATTAAAATATCATTTAAGAAATTTATAAGGGAAAAAAAAGGCAGAAAGAAAAAGGGTAGGTGTAGGAAGATACAGAATGGCCACCCATGGTTCTATGATGAGACTTGAGTGTTGCTGTTGGGCAAAGTGATGATCGAAGGCCGTGCTCCATCAGGGGTGTGTGCAAGGGAGGGTAATATGGCATGGCAAAAAGCACTATCCTTTCTTCACGAGGTCTGTCTCTTAATGGCCTCAAAGCCCATTTGCAGCCTCTGGTGGTTATAGGTCACCCCTCTTGTCCTATGCAGAACAGAGGTTTGCCATCACACACCCAAAACCTTACCTCCTTCTCCTCTGGGGGTTGCAAACCTGGTCTCAGAAAAAACCCTAATGCCTCCACAAATGGCCAATTGTTTTTAGTCATAGTCCAGTCTCTCACAAAGGGTTTTTCTGGTTTCTATTTTGCATGATTGTACAAAGAAAAATGAAAGCAAAACTAATCTTCAAATAAATCTTAAGGCAATGATCCTGAAAAATTCCAATTCTGTTCCTCAATTCTGCTCCATCAGAAAACTTCTTTAACTTTCCTAACTCTACCTAAATAGGGGACAAATACACAATCCACTTATTGAAAATGGAAATCCCTTGAATGATCATATCTAACAAGTGGTAGTATATCCATGGGATCTGCAGGGCTGGGGATAACCAGCGACCTTCTTACTATCATTAGTTAAAAAAAAGGCATTTGACAACTTCTAACCAAAGTGCAAAAGAWCTAGTAATGCTGCTCCAGGTTAATGCAGCAGAGCTAGGGAAACCCAGTTCCACAAACGCAGATCTTGTCACTCTTTACCCTCAGCTGATCAAGCTACACTAAAAACACATTGCTGGCCAGGTTTCCTGACTGCTCAGACCATCTAGGTCTTATATCACTCTCCACACAWGCAGAGAAAGGAGCAAAGTAAAATGCCACATGGAAAGCCACAGGCTGCCTGGTGGTTGTAATGATCCCATCACCACCAGCTCCCCTCCGAGTTCCCATATCCAGGATGCATCTCCTAGGGCTGCCCCAAGAAGGCAGCACCAATGGTCTCTCCCTCCCACTGTGTTCCTAACATGCTCTGCAGCAGAGATGATCTGAATTTGTACACAAATCACTCTGCAGAGATAGAGTGTAAGGGCAGTGTGTTGTAAAGGGATGAACTGGTGCATAGCCCCTTGCATCACTTCTCTTCACAAATATATGTATATAATACAATGTGTATTTTATGTACAAATGAAAGCAAGCATCAAGGTTACTCCCTTGCATRGAACTGCAGGGTCAATACAGGAGATGCAGAAGCACCAGAAGTAGCACAGAAATTATAGCAAAGACATGTCTGAGGACTGCAAAGATTTGTGGGATAACAGCTGTGGCTACAGACACCCTATCTGGTAAAAATCCAGTTTTGACATCTGGAGTGTTCTTATCCATGCAGAYTGATGTCTTAATAACCCATATTTAATTATGAAAATTGATTATAATTAATGTGGCCACTGCTGCTGTATCTTCAATCCAACAGTGTTATGTAAAATTCAGATTTAGTGTAATTTTCCTGTTGAAATTTAGAAACTTTTGGCTGAAAACAGTAACTGTAGAATCTAAATATTTACATCTATATTGCTCAAAAAAGAGGGATGCGAAATGAACCCAAACACCAGAAGCTTTATTCCTTCCATACTAATTTATTTCATAGCTCTGTTGTTCACAATCTAAACTTACTCTCCTCAAGACAACATCCAGGCTCTAAGGATGGATCATGCCAGACATGGCCCCCAGAAAGTCAGTGTACTAGATTGAACTTCCTTCACCCTAAACATCTCTTCATCACTACCCCAGCAATGGGATATCTGCATCTATCTCTGCATCTYAAACTCATCCCACAGCCTCTGTGTGTCTCTCCAGTGTATCATTCACCACCCCTTCAGTTCCACGCTATTAAAATACAATTTCACAGGCTTGTGAAATTGCTTCAGACACTGAGCTGAAATAGTCCCAAAATAACAATCAAGTTTTAGCATCAGGGCAGTACCCCCTGAGGCTCCCAGGACACTTGCAGTTTAGTAAGGACATGCATATTGCCTTCCCTGGGAGCATATATATGCTGCCCAAGACTTGCCTCCACCAGGCTGGAAGTAGGTAGGTGGCTGGGTGGAGGCAAGTCTTGGGCAGCATATATATGAGTCTGTACTAGCTGTGTTTAGGAAAAAGGATCAGCCCCCAGCCCTGTTTAATTTAGTGTTGTAGATGTTAAATAGATGCTAAAATATCAGAATGCCAAGGTATTCAGTCTCCTGAAATATGCAAACACAACCAAATTTCAACCCTTCCCAAGTCCTTCCTGCTACCAATTCTATCTGAGGGGTTATATTTATATTTGTCTCACATCCCTAACTGGATCTGAGGCTGTGATGCACTGGYCCTTGCTATAAAGTGAGTGTTCACACAGCCGGTGGCTCCCTCCCCACTCGTAGGACAGGGGAGGAAGCAGGAAAAGGAGTGAGAAAAATAATTTGTCAAAATAAAGCTTTTTTGTCTGTAAAGCTCTGCTGCCTCCAGCTACTAACAACTTTTTTTTGTCTTATTTTGTGGGAGACAGAAAGATAGAAAACGATCTTTCTTTTGCTCTGAGAAAATTCCTCAGTGGACATGTGAAATATTAAGAATCATCATATACCCTCCCTCACCTGTGTTTCTCATGAAATTGCAATAATAAACCAAAATAACTCCTGTGGAGGAACATTTTCTACTGAACCTTTATTTCMAGCTCTGCAGCACCATGAACTATACCAAAAATGAGAGGTATCAGAAACCTTTTCTTGTTATAAAGGATCTGGGTCAGCCGTGTCAACATTTCTTTGGGAATGTTAGATAGGAAAAAACTCTCTTCTATGAAAAAATAGTATTAAAACCCCCCTAAAAGTAAAACAACATAATGTTCCCTATTTTTCCTTCCCTGAAAGGAATCTGTGCATTCTTCATTATTTCACTGTTGGTTTATGCATTTTAAAGTTTTGCATTTTTAAGAGGTTTTTTTTTTCCACAACCACAGACATGTTTCATTAACACCTAAGATTTTCATTTAATACAAAGAYACTAGAAGCCTAAAGCTTGATGAAAAGCATCAAACTGCAGGAAACCTTTGGAATGACAGTCAGGAAAGGCAAACTTTCATACAGCCCACTCTCTACTCYTTTCCCAGAAGCCAGGAAATTATATCAGGCAGTCTTGATTGCTGGAGAACTGCTTGTACCTTTGTCATCAGCACTAAAACACTTAGTCCAATGCTGAATACGGTGTTCAAGGGTTCACATACAAAGTTTTTTCCCTGGATAAAAATAGGTAAGACACACAGCTGAATATATTATAAAGCATATTGAGTAATTGATCATTGGGAATATATCCCTATATTTTAGGGCAATGACAAATGATGGCAAGTATCTCTAGAGGCATATCTATAATTAGCAATACATATAGAGTTTTTATACCATGATGGCAAAATAAAAATTGAATTTTTAGAGATGCATTTTACTTTACCAATGTTTTTCTGGCTGAGTAACCTACCTTGCTGTACAATTAGGTTGATGGCTTTCTGCAGGGTTGATAGCACTAATTGTTACAGCTGAGGATACTGGAGAAGAAAAATTTGTCTGCTCCCTGGAGAGGAGCCCCAGAAGGAGGATAAAATGTCAACATTTGGCTAAGATTTATTCTTGTTTAGATTGAGGACTGGAATTTGTCAGGTTCAGCAGAAAGGATGCCATTAGCTTTGACAAGTGYGTGTGTGTGGATGTGTTGGGTAATCTATTTAGGAGATGTAAAATGCTGCACACACTTCCCATTTTATTGCAAAAAGCTGAAATTGACGGTACCTGTCAAAAACTATCATCTTCCACTTTCTAAAAGAAAATTGACCCTTGCTTTCTCTACAGTATCCTTCAGCAGGCTCACCTCTCCTTTAGCTAATACTACTTCAGGAGAGGGAAGTGGAAATTTAAAATATAATTAACCTGATGTCCAGAATTTGCTGTATTGAGGTCCAGAAGCAGTGCCTGAAGATTATTGCTACATTTTAGGAGTGTTCTTGTGCCTGGAGAGTGCCAATCATATCTATATTGCTATATAAATAACACTAAATCATAAAGCAGGGCTATTTTAAAGATCTGATGTTATAAATACAATCAGGACTACAAATGAATGCCTCATACCATTAAAAGTGCCTGCAACAAATCTAATGGAAAAGGCAAAATTAACTGTAGATTTCACAAATGCTATCAGAAGCAAAGATCTCTAAGAGCTTTTGCTCCAGCATTGGGTCCAGATGGATAAAGTCCTTGAGAAGTCAGGTATTAAATTAGTATTTGCAATGTTYCTGAACAGATCTTTTTCTCAACAGTTTTTAGAACATAGATTAACTTACTCACAAAAGATATGTGAGCTCTTTGGCATAAATACCATCTTCTTCGAGGATTAATTATACTCTTTTAATTCCTAAGGGCCATGATTAGTTCCAGCTTTGGATTTTATATAATATACTACCTTGTGTTACCAAAGGTGACACAGTCAACCAAAGGTGTCCTACAGACAATTATTATAGTATCTAATGTTTCCAAATACATTACCTAAAGAAATTAGTAGAAGTCCACAGCTCATGCCTCTTTTTACTTTTATAGTATATTGTGGTAATTAAATATACAAGTGCTTGCAGGAGAATTAACTCTTCCAGCTTCTAATCCTGCTGGGAAGATTTATTCTTCATTCATTTGTATGCACATGACAATTCGGCAAGRCTCAGGTACCGACTTTACCAGTTTTATATGATATGCCTCATGATTTCCTTGATAACTTTCAATTATTCTCTCCTCTCTGCCTGACCTCAGAAACTTTAATCTTTAGGATGAAACTTTGGTCCCTGGCATTCTAATTTCACTGATCAGGTGCTACCTTTACAAATACTTTGGAAATTCGTAGTAGTAAAAAATCCCAAACACACACATACACATACACACTCATGTTCCTTGTTATCAATTTTATGAGAAATTGATCCTGGTATTTGTTTCCAGATCCTGGTATTTGCTTCTAAAATACCTAAAATAAAATATCTAAAATTAAAATGATCCTGGTATTTGTTTCTAAATCCTGGTATTTGCTTCTAAAATGCCTGAAATAAAATATAAAATAAAATATCTAAAATAAAAAATGATCCTGGTATTTGTTTCTAGATTCTCCTTCATTTCTGACAGAGACTCTTGCCACCATTGATCCTGACTGCAACACAGAATTCTGTAGCACAGACTRTTTAGGAAAATAATTTATAGGAAAAGTATGCAGACAATTAACTTAAATGGCATAACAAATCTGGACAACATTGCTACACATTAATAGTGACAATATGCAGTGTTTAGGATTAAATTAAATAGTAATGGACAGATTGTCTGTACCAGCACCATCCTGTGCATAACGTAGCACACAGCTGTGCCATGCTGAGAGGAGCTTCGGGAGAGAACCATAACCAAAGACCCAGCTGCTTTAATTCCTCCCCTCCTCGCTTCCAAGCAAAACAAACTACAGTGTTTCACTCCTGGCAGAAGATACRTTTTCCTTGTGTTGATTATCTGGTTTGCTCTGTGTAATCGATACGCTTCCCGAGGCTCTCTGTCCACAAAGCAGCAGTAGCAGCACAGCKGGTGATATGAAGGAGATGTTTGGAGCACTGTTTCCCATCTCAGAGCGTGCCTGGATTTATTTGTATGGACCCTARTATCACCCAGTGTCTTTAAAGGCCCAATTCTGCTACCCTTACAATGACATAAAATGTTTCCTGAGCTCAAAGGTTATGATTTTCTTCCAGAGGTGATCAAGGAGCTGACAAGGGCAGATGCTCTTCTGGATCTGACACTTACAAAGGAGGAAGAACTTGGCTGCTGTGACCAYGAGACAATAATATTAGGGCAAAACAGCAAAATCACAGGTCTGGATTATTTAGAACAGAATTTGATGTCTTAAGGGGTCTCAGAGATCAGCTTGGAAAACTAAGGAAGAGACCCTAAATTCCAAAACTTTCAATTTATTATTTTTYAAGCTGGGTTTGCTCATCAAGAAARTAGTAAGTGACATGCTATTTTGCATCACTTCTGTGCAAATAAATGAACAGAAAATGATTAGTTGGGGACATTTTTGTTGATTCTAAAATAGGTTTTAAGTTTCTAAGAAATCCAATTTCACTGAAGGTTTAAAAAATTAATCACATATGRTAGTATATGTACAATGAAGAAGTAAAAATGAATGTATTTCTTGATAAGTGGATCATCATACAGTTTCCAATGACTTCTGTTCAGAAAAAAAGTTAAAATTTATATGTCTCTCTAAGGTTAATGAAATGCCCTATGTGGTCAGCTCACCTTTAAGGTATTTTAAAAAGATACTTAAGAGATGCTCAGAAGAACAATTGTCATTTGAAACAGGAGATAAGAAGAGCAATTTTTTTTGTCCAGTCACACGTCTTAGCAAGCCGCAGATGATCCAATTCCATTGCCAGCACTGCCAGGCAGGAGAGAAGGAAAACCAGCCCAAGGGAAGTAGAGCTGCTTCACTGCGGTGCAGACACGGGACTGAGCATTTCACTGATTGTGGGACGGGACGGGACGGAAGGTGATGGACAACTTCTGCTCAGGGCAAAAGCAGCACTTCCAGAAGGGTGAACTGTGATCCARAGTGTCAGCATTTGCAAGGAATCAAAATACAGTGAARTRTATACAGACAYCAACTGAGGTGCAAGCATGYAAATATTAAAATGCATTTTTAGTGKTTTTGGAGTTTTCYCAGATTAATCTCTCTCTATCCCTTCCTTACATATGTTCCCCTCCTTTCCAAAAATCCTGCATTCTGGAGATGGGCACGGATTATTTCCGTGTGGCGTGAGTGTTTTCCCGCTCCTGATCGTGTTTGTTACTGCACAGATGATCCCGTGTCCCCCCGCTTCCCCGTCCCCGCCCCACTCCCGGGCTGTGGCGCGCCAGCCTYGGCCCCGCGGGGGAGGCGCTTCGCGGTCCGTCCCGCTGCGCYGTTTGTCCCTCCGGCCGACCCGTACTGTTCGCTCCTCCACGCGCCACCATGGAGGGCGCCGCGGCCTCTGCCGAGGGYCTGCGYTACGCCGAGTACGCTCGGGCCCCTACGGGCGCCGGCAAGGGCCAAGCCGAGCTGGACCGGGGGCTGGTGAGCGCACGGCGGGACCCCCCCCCGCCCCAGGGGCCGTGAGGCCGCCGCTGCCCCCCTCTCACCCGGGGCCTTCACACGCGTGCGGGGGCCGGGACAGCGGGGCGGGGGCCGGGGCTGCGGGGATAGGTGTTCTCTGCTCCCCTCCGGGCTGGGCTAGGAGGTTGGGCTGGGGGAGAGGGTCTGTGCCCGGTGCCCCGGGTGGAGCCGTGGCGTGGGCGGCGGGCGTGGTGTCCCTCCCGTGAGGGGAAGGGCGCGCCCAAGGTTCGTAAATGCTCGTGGTCCAAAGGAATGACAGGTGTCAGGGAGTTGGCAGACTATCAGAAAGTTTTGTCGGTGAATTACACGGTTGGCGTGGAAATGCTGGACCCTGACCTACTGTGTAAGCACACGGCAGTGGGATTTGGATAARGGGSSTGGGGTRAAAGGGAAGAGAAAGAGGAAGAGATGATTTAAAGAGGGAGAAGGAAAGAGAGGCAAATTAGGAGAAAAAGAGAATAAGATATCCCCAGTCCTGGTCCCAGCCTTGACCTAGCTGATGGGATGTCCTGGGGGGGCTGCCTTTTGTTTTTTATGGATAGGTTTTCCTTGCCCCGAGGACAGATTTCTCACATTCTGTGCGATTCTGGAAATGGGTCAGAGGGCTTTGGGGGTCTTGATACTGCCCCCCTACAGTCCATGCCTTTTTGGCCTCATCCTTGCACTGTMCTGTGCTGTATTTATTTTTAGGAGCTAGAACAAGAAGAAGTGCTGCCCTACCTCCMCATGKCCCCCTTCTYCAGCCACATCTTGTTCTTTTCCACAGCGTGTTTTCCCAACAATTTTCCAACAATTCTTGGTTATTACCAGCAATTCTTACCTGACACTACCAAGAGCCTTTGTTTGGCTCCACAGCCAGTGGGTGTTTGGAATGTACACATTAGCCCCTTCTGTATTTCCACAGCAGGATACATGGGAGCGCTTCGGCCCCAGCATTCACAAACAWTGCCAAAAATTTTGTTCCCCAGCCATGAAASATGATACCTGAGGTGTTCTCACCCRCTGTGCAAATGTTATTACCACAGGCAGGTCTGAGAGTTGGTTTTCTAGAGCTCTGTTTCAGAAAAGTAATTCTCATCTGGTACTTTGTAGTGTGGGAAAGGTTGGGTGGAGGCAAAGTGCCTCCAAAGTTTCCTATGCTGTATTGTGCTTTAGAGGAAAGGGTASTGGGGCTTTATCCCACTTCTTTATTCCTGTCATTTGGACTAGTTCAGGGAACAGGGAGGTCCCATTGAAAAAGAGAATTGGGAAGAACACACTGCTTAAAGCCCCAGATGGTGAAGCTTTCACATTTTTTAAATGGCTTAAAACCCTTACTTGCCGTACCTAATTGTGTGTGTGAAGTTGTCTCTACAATATTTCTACTCTTTTAAAACAGAATTTTAAAAATCACAGTTCTCTAAGTTATTTATTCATTGTTACTACAGTCTAGGGTTTTTTTTTTTTTCCACAAGAGAGTCTTCCTGTGTATTTAACAGCAAGTGTGTAGTCTTAAGAAGCTGGCTCTGAATCTCATTATCATCACAGCCATTTTCCCTGTGGAATGCTAGCAGGGATTTCCTAGTGAATTTTGTGGAGTATTTGGRCCTTCTTACCTATCTGAGATATAAGTTGCATTTGGGGTTAGCGTGGCTTGCTTTGTTGTTGTATGTTTGTGGTGTGGTCATGTTCTTACTGAGGTCTGGAGCCTGAGGTAGGTCTTTAGAGGACTAAAATCTGAATGTCTGYATTTTTCTATTGAAATTTATTCTTTAGTCCAGGGTRTTAGCTGAAAAGTCCCTTGATCACSATCATGTTTACTCTTGTAGTTGTTTTACAAAAGCACATGGAGCAGTGGAAGAGCAACAGTGGAAGCATGAGGAGTCTGTTCTCAGAGGTCACCCACAAGAGCCTTTGTTAATTTACTAACTCAACAAGATTGATTTGAGTAWCTTATGGTGATTGTTCTATTAGTGAATCTTGCTCTGGTACAATTTCCTATGAAAAACTGATGGGAACTGTAGTCATAGCTTTATATACAAACTGAAAAAAGTTGCTGTAAATTACAGGACACAAATTGACACAAGAATTGTGTCAATATGGAGAACAGCATCTAGCTGAAATTACTTTTAATTCACTGTTGGAAAACAAATTAAATTTCATAGGAAGGTAAGRCTGGAGGGAAAACACTAGATTATGAAATCAAATTGGTTGCATAGAATTTATAATATAATCCCACTTCAAAATGATTCTGGCTCCATATAGTGTTAATAATGGTGTTTGCTCTGGAGCAGTATTCCGTTAAACTGTAGCTACTCTTCTGAGGAATAGAAGACTTATTTTATATTCCATACCAAACAATCATTTAAGTCAGAAATTTGTATTTGAGGGAAAATCTATTTTCAGAGTATTTTTGTACACTTGGTTAATATACTTGTRTATCCTACTTCTTAGCAGCATACAGAACTAAAAAAAAACCACAAYGAACAAACCAAAGCTTAAAATTTTTTAGCAAAGCAGTTTACACTATGTACATACTTCCTATTTTGCTGATTTGTGATTAAGAATGGATTAATTGCAAAATGCCATTCAACCCATGAAAAAAAACTATTATTTTCTATGTGCCTTTTATTCTGTTCTGCTCACTGTAGCTTTCTGAGGCAAAAGACCATAGGGCTCTTGCTGTATGTGTGAAAGTGAGTTGTGAGGAGAGCAAAATATTTTTCATTTGACTGAGGTGTTCTACTAGTAATGGTAGAAGAACCAGTATAAAATCCAAATCCTATGCAAGCAGATAGGTTTAACATTTGGAAAGGTGGCTCTTGCAGCCTGTTGTCAGATGTAARAGTATTGTGCTGAAATTTTAAAATGATGCATTTGAAATTCCCCTTTTTATAAATCAGMGTTCTTCTGCTTCATAGAAGGAGAAGGTCTAGTGCTATGAGCTACAAATGTCATATTTTTTGAGTATATTTAATTTAGCAGGGCACCGTGGTTTGGGAAATTGCAAAAATAATATCTCATTCTCCCCTCTTTCTGCTGCTAAAAATTAAGGCTACTGGTGAATTAAATATTAAGGGAACAGGCACAAGATTTATTTTCTAACAGTATATAATGTATACCTCTCCACACATTGTGTGTTAATAAATGTGCTTTATTCTCTTTTGTATGCCAAATGCTTAAGTGAATCAAGTCTTGCAGTTGCCTTTCTGATGCTTGTGTTTCCTTAGACACATTTCTGAAAARAATTAAGAAAATTTGGGTTTTGCAGATTTAGCATAACTTTTTCATTAGTTTTCTTTAACAGGGTTTGTTACTGAAAACTGAACTGCATAGTAAAATTAAAATACTGAGATCAGCAGAATAGCATGGTGTTGATGACTAACCTTTGGGAGCTGATGCATTGAATAAAGAAAGGGACAGATGTTAGTTTTTAATCTTTTAGTTCTTTATTTTTCCCTCTTGGATCTTAACATAATGATTTCATTTAAAATCCACATCTTGGAAGTTTCTTAACAGCATTTTTGGAGTGGGGGAAGGTCAATTCTGCCATAATTGAAAGTCAGTGTGTATGTGTTTATTTATTTATGCCTTATGAGTCTGAAATAAAATGCAATTTCAAGCAATAGGAGACAAAAATGATCATGGTGGTAGTTGTATTAGCATGCTGTAAATGAACTGCTGCCTTCCACAGAGAGTGAGGTACTTTCATTTAATATTGACGTGAAAGGAGTGCATTTAATTAAAGCTTTGGACTTTACATTTCAAAGCACTAGGCTAACCTTGACTGATTCTTTTAAATATTCAGCTCAGTTAAGTGAGCATGGAAAAGGAAAYTGAGTCAAGCTGGACTTAAAGGACTTACTGGTTAGTACTTGAAGTTGCCACTGCTCTTATGAAAGTCCGTGTCGTGTAAAAGCCAACCAAACCTRCAATCTCAGACCGATCCAAATTAATTTTTTTGTAGCATGTGTATAGTTAGAATACATTCACCCCGTTAAAAACGTTCAAGATGCTTTGTTATGTCAAGTCATCACTTCTTTGCTAATATGTTACAAGTGACTCTTTTCTAATGTGCTCATAATGCAAATAAAGGGAGTTACCATAAACCAGTACTTCTCAGATTTTCCAGTGCCGGTACCCTATTAAATGTGTGGACAGTCTTTCATGCCTCTCTGGCTTGAGCTTTCTACTACTTTCACCAAATTTTCTGTCTTGTCTTCATTTTCCCCTTGATCCTGCTCCTGTTCAAGGGCTGCTGCCATGGTTTGTTTTTACCTGCTGTGTTCCAGTCAGCATTAACTTTCCACTAGCTGCTAGTGCTTTTCACTGAGATGGGAATAATGTATTCAAGCAGACATGGCTGACTTTGTCAAAGGGCCTCAGGGGTCTCTGCATTTTGCTCCCAGATTACTGTGCAAAAATGCTTCAGCTGCTTCTGCACTGAACTGACAGAACCGTGGTATTATTTACTAGTCTGGTCTCTGTGCTTGGTCTTGCCCATCATGAGGTGTCTGCTGCTAATGCTAATGTTGGAACCTGTGAGTCTTGTAAACTGCTGACTTAAACCACATTTTTTGGTGGCAAAGCAAGTATAACTTAATTTGTACAATCACAGGCTAATAATTTTTTTTTTTTTTTTTTTTTTTTTTTGCCAGTGTGATCTATTTCACACATTGTTGAGCTCTTAATTGACTGTAACCACTTAGCAAAAGATTCTTGCTGCCAGTCTGAATAAGTCAAGGAAACTCTTGAATATTAACCCATGGTCACAAACCACAGAACAGAATATAGAATTGCTCTAGGGTTATGATATTTTCAGAAATGTGGCTGTTTGTGAGYTGTGTTAAATGAAGGAATTGGAGGAATTTTTTAAAATATTTGAATATTAAGAGCCTGGGAAAACTAATACATGAGAAGAAATGAAAATAATTTMGTTTAGTGAGGAGATGAACTGCGTGCTTTGCAATTTTACATCTTCTGTCCTTTAAGATAAGATGCTTAAATTTTTTTCGTGGGGAAACAAGACAAAGGGAAATTTTGTGGAACTGAAAGGAACAACAGACATAAAAGTACTGCATTATTTTTGCATTTGGAAATGAATGCTAACATTATGACTGAAGACCACGCTGAAATGGAAATTAGATTACTAAAATGGGATATACAGCCAGATTTTTAAGGCAAGAATTCCCCCTCAGGTAGGTGGGAAGTAGGTTCTTAGTTAAAATCTGCAGGATTCAGAAGCTAGATCCAGAGGAATACGGCTGCTTTCTTGGTRACTTCAGAAGAGGCTGCAACTTCTGTCCAGAGCTCAGTGCTACAGGCAGCAGCCACAGCCTCTTGCCTTCAGAGCCAAAGCTGTAGGAGCCGGTGGGCGAGGGGGCAGTGCCTAYATCTTGTACTCAGCTGCCTGTTTGCTGGGGAAGTTGCCAACCCATGGTCTAGGCCCTACTAAGACACTTCTAGGAAGGCTTTAAAAACAGTATTTCTAAACTCTTCCCCTACTCCCACTGTCCAGAAATAAGATTGGGTGCAATTGAAGACAGAGAATGTAAGCCTCAGTAATCTTCGTGGCAAAGGCGTCTTGGCTCCAGATCCAGTTATTGGGGCATTCACACTGAACTGGAGCCTTAAGTCCTTCTGTCAGTCTTGTCGTATAAAATATATAAACCAGTTATGGGTTAATTGCGGAAGCGAGTCATATATAGAAGAGGCAGCCTGRTGATAAAAGCATTTTCACTGTCATTATGTTTTGAATTCAAGATAAACAAGCCTAATCTGATTTCCCAGGTTTCCCGAGGGAAAATTCAAGGCATTATTGAACTGTCATATGATAAGACAGGTAATGCCACAGATGACTATTTCCTTTGTTTCAAAGATTACATGAAGGCTTTTCAGAGCTGAGAGCTTGTTACCCTTACTGAATTCTGCAAACATGTGAGAAGTCAGTCGTTTCTTCAAGGTTTACTTCGTACCTTTAATCAGCTTCTTGATCAACATGGGGATACTCTTATTATCCTTCTTGAGGCACCTGACTTTTTTTCAAGCACTGCATGGGAAAATACMTACACCTGATATGGGAGTTTTGAGTTAGTTCTTCATGTTTTTGTAATAAACTGGCATTTTCTATTGTGTACTRTGTTGAACTAGTCTGCACAAGTAATTTCAAGTAATCTTATATAGTTGTTTCTGTTGTGTTTTTATCATTACATGTTGTGAGTGGATTTCAGTGAATGATCACTGATGTGCTAGCAGGTAGTTCAAATTAAACCTGATGTTTTGGCGTGGGTTAATGGTACTGAACTATAAAATYGAATGTAGCCTGTGGAATACAGAACTTACTTTCATCTTTCTCCTAAGTTGTGTATATGTATTCATCTTTCTCCTAAGTGCATATATGAAATGTGCACATCAGAAATCAGAAATACTCGTTAAAGATGTGTATATATGTGTATATAATTAGAATTTGCATACAATTCTGATTCCTGTTTCTTTGTTGTAGGCGAGAACTATGATAGCACTTGGGCTTGGTGTTGCAACTGTTGCATTTGCAGGTAAGGTAAATTACCAGCGAAACTCTCTCTTGTGAGCTGCAGTTTCTGAAYGGGTTAATGAAGCTTTTAGGCAGATATCTTCATTTATCATATTGAAATGTATTTAAATCTATTTATTAAGTGAGTAAACACAATGGATCTTTGCTGTCCATGACTAGTTTTTTAGGTACAGAATAATAAATATAAATAGTGGAAAGTGGAAAGGTTTCTTGAGAGTACTATGGGGAATTGCGTCCACCTATAGTTCCTGTCCTTTCAAAGTCATAAATTCCAAAATTCTTTTTGAAAAAGGTGGAGTAAAGTAAAGTAATTTTATAGACAGCAGCCAAAACATTCCATCTGCTTTTTGTCTGCAAAATGAAAGGTGTAAAGTTTATTTACATACTAACATACTGCAATGTGAAAGCTCTTTAGTACAGAAGAGTGCAACAAGATCCTGTGATGTGAAGGTGATGCTTGACAAATTCAACTAGAGGAAAAGATTTTAGTGACTATAGTGATTTATCATGCTAACTGTTTCCATGATACATTGTTTATTACCTGAATCTTTGTACCTCAACTGTTYGTTACACTGAAAAACAGGTTCTAGTTTGAACACAGTGCATGAGTTTAACAGGATTTATACCCTGGGTTACATGGTCTAGATAACTGTTGTCTGTTCTGGTTTTGAAATATACAAATCRATTTCTGTTATTTCCAGCAAAACTAACCATGGTCAGCTATATACAAGTGCATGCACCAAGAATAGATTTAATAGATTAACAAGTTGCACAAAACTTCAGCAAGTGTTTGGTGGGTACAGTTGTGTTGTTTTTGTGATTAGGGTAAGGAAAGACCAAGACCTTTGGTGGGGTACTCCCATTAAGCAGTTGGTTTATTTATGTGTTTGTATAGAAGCAGGAGAGGAATGCTCACAGAATTTCTTCTGCTGGTTTAGCTGGTTAACAGAAAGCATTAAGAAGAAAGTGAGGTAATAGTATATCACAACATTTCAACAGAGATACCCTAAACATGGTTTTGACTTCTGTGTTAACATAGGCTCAAGCTTAGATTACTAAAATTTGTGGGCACATTATGTGTTGTAGGAATGAATGCAAGATGCTATTTAACTGAAGCAGAACCACATTTTATAGTTTTTCCATTGTGTGTAATAGTAAGTTACATTGCTAATGAATAGTTAATCAAAAACAATAACAGGGAAAAAGAATTTACGTGGAAAATCCTCCAATAACACGGCATAAATCTTGATTCTGAAGTTGACAGACCTGCTTTGTACTTCTGGGAACACAATTGTACAGGGATCCCTCTAGCCTTTCTTAGCTATACACATTCAGTGCTAGTGGGTAGTTGAATGGTTCTGAATCCCAGAAGATTATGTTTTTGCAACAAAATTAAAAATGCAATGTGTACAAGGTGTGTGATTAAACATCCAGCATCACAGCAAGAAATGTGTAGTACATGGATTTCTTTTTTAGAAGACATAATCTTTTGAACAGTATTTAATAAATATTTTATATCCAAAGGTAATGTTTCAAGCTGCCCTTTTGCTTAAACTTCCCAAGGCAGATATCTTCATTTATCATATTGAAATGTATTTAAATCTATTTATTAAGTGAGTAAACACAATGGATCTTTGCTGTCCATGACTAGTTTTTTAGGTACAGAATACTAAAATTCTTCTCCCTCCCAATAATTTTGGATTTTTTTAAAATRAAAATTCTTTAATTCTTTCTGCTGTAAGCTGATGAATGTAAGTTGGAGGTTTGGGGTTTTTTTAATATTTCATTCAGCCTCTATCTTTTTTAGGTCGTTATGCTTTCCACCTTTGGAAACCATTGGAGCAGGCAATTACAGAGGCAGCAAAGAGGATTTCGACTTCTGTAAGTTTAGATATTACTTTATGCTGAATTTATGATTTTGTATTTCRGATATTCAGAAAGAAGACATTTTATGTTAAATATAGTTAAGTTCCACATAGATATGTTTTTCCTAGGGTAGGGCTGCTCCCTACTGTGTTCTGGCTTCTTGTCTGCTATATTTTAAAGCTCTCTGGATGAAGCTATATCTAMAGATGTTTATGAGTTGGATAAACAGTTGTAGTTTCTTCTGCTGATGTTTCTTGTTTTGGAATCCTTTTACTGGTAAGTGTAAAGATAAATTGTTGAAGTGTYCTGTAAGAAAGTCACTAATTCTTGAAAATAGCAAAGTGATGACATTCAGTTTCATTTCAAGCTGCTAAAAGTGAAAGAATTTAGTCTTTTAGGTAGTACAGTGTTAAAAATCAAGAAGACAAGTTGATGAACTTCTAGGAAGTGTTGCCATGGAGATGGGAGAGCTTGTGTTCTGGTTAACATATGAGTTGTCTTTTCTTCCACAGCTGATTTGAACTTTTAACCAAGTTCTTGTTCTTTGGTTTTGCCCTACTTATTAAAAAACACAATAATGAAGTACAAAATCAAGAAGCAGAGTATTGTGAGGGGAGCATATGCAAGGAATGTTTGAGAGTGTTTACTTACTGCTTCAGTGGCTGTGTTTTCCTCTGGTAAATAAATACATATGTTCCATTCCTCTTTGACTGAAGTAATTCCCTATGAGGTAGATGTCTGCTTGTGGTTGTGTGTTTCTTTGGAGTTCATAGTCTGCGTGCACTTATCCACAGCAGAAGGATGCTATTCCCTTCTTCATGCTGCTGGGTGAGCGTGTTCAGAGAGTAGTTGTTGCAGATTATTATTTCCTGAAAAATATGCTAAAGATAGGCTTTTTAAAAACATGATATGAGCATTGCACCGCCTCTAATGTTAGGCCAGTTGCAACGCAGAGCCTAGACAGACACTGCAGTTCCAATTCATTTGCCATCTGTGCTTGGTGTTCATGTGCTGAAGGTGCAAGCTTGATCAAGGCAAGCTTCCCAGGGAGGAGAACACTCAACTGTTCTCTTGGGGTTGGTCCACATTTGTTTTTAATTCCACGTGTTTCAGCCAGAAACGATGCTCGTGGATCATTTTTTTGCTCTCTGTCCCTCTTATTGCATTGCTGTTGTGAGACCAATGTCAGTTTTTTTTTTCTTTTTCCAAGTAATTTTTTGAGAGATTCCCATGTTGGCTGCCAAAACAACAGAGGGGACTTTAGGTCCTGTGAATTAAATTGCTTTCACATGATACAGATACAGGCTGACTTGCAGGCTTCCTAGATGTAGCTGGCAGTGCATGTGGCTTCAGAGTACGTAATGCTTCAGTCTTCTCCCTTCCTCCCTCCCTAGCAGTTCTACTCTAGCAATTCTTTTTCTATCCATTTGTAGATATAGGCTAGGGAATCTAAATTCAGATATGTTCACATAAGAAAGCAGGCAGTGACTCTTTTTAACACATTGAAATGTGCCATGCTACTGCACTGAGAAGTGTCTGTTCCTAGGAAACTGTACCCCTCAATACTGACTGAGCCAACCTCATTACAGACCTATCTCATTTTTACCACAGTGACTTTGAGTCCTGCAGAATTCATGAACAGCCATAAAGAGCAAACCAGGAGCTTCTGCATTCTAAGTGTTCCTAGTCCCTGGAGCAGTATCCTCTGTCTGCCTTCACATCCTGCCTTTCTGCCCAGAATTGTGTGTTGATTTCCATTAGGGTATCTCTTCTGCTATTCTGTTTCTGAACTTGAAAATACAAGTTTTCAGTGTAAGGCAAGATCTGCTGGAGACAGTAAAAACTCTCTTCCTGTTCGCCATTTACTCTGTATATTTGGCTTTATATTTCTGAGAACAGTGTTAATATTTTTCTTCTACAACTGTAGTCCAAATTGAAGATCCTTGTATAATTCTTAGCCAAGATTATTTGACTTTTACTGCTGTACAGCTACTACTTTCTTGGTTTGTATTTTTAAATATTTTTTCTTCTCTCCTTAACAATAAATTACTGTCTTTGAAGCAAYAGAGAAAACATTAAATATGAAGGTCCTGTGTAAGTGCCTATTCTCCAAACTTCTTGTTTTACTAGTTTACATGACTTTGAGGAGTTTGMAGCTGCTGAGTATAAGTTGTGAGTTAGCACTTTCGTCACCTTTCTTGACAACTTATTGCCCTTTACAGTGTACTGACAAAGGATATCAAGGGGTTGGTGCTTCTCCTTGTGCTTACTGGAAAAAGCATSTTGTGACCTTTAGTGACTGGGATTAGTGTTGCTGTGCTGTGTTTCTAGAGTGTTTGTAGGCACCTAACTTGGTCACTATGATTTTCAGTGCTTATTCTAGCTTTCTAGAATCAAACTTTGTCCCTCATGGTTTCATTTTTCTTGAGTCTGTGAAGCAGCTGCCTATTGTAAAGCTAGCTGCTTCCTTCTGTAGGCCCCCCCTCTTCGTTCCCCCATTTAGAATTCATCCCCCGCTTTGTTTGCAGTAGAAGTCACAGTTGATGTTAGTCCCTCCCAGTCACACAAGATAATACAGATGCTTTTTATTCTTTATGCCTGCTTACTAGTAAGTGGCTTGGGAAAGGTCAAGTTGAGCAATTACAAAGTGATAATTTAAAATGCTCCTTGCTGTATCTTGAGGATTTTGCATTTCCTATTTACTTACGTAAATAAGTAACATGTACAGTCAGCAACTGCATTCATCTTTTAGTCAAAAATAGTAAGTAAAGCAAGTAGAAGTGTTATGCTTTGTTCTGAATTTTTASCTCTCATTTAACCTTAAGACAGTTACTTCATATTTAAGAATATATATTTGTAAATGCTGCTGTAATTTAGTCTTGAAGTTTTCTACCATCTTTCTTTCAGTGGGCAAAGACACTAGAGGAAACACTGTCATTTCCACTATATGACAAGTCATAATGCTTGTTCTCAGAGAAATGGTTTTTTAGTTTGAGCCTAGTTTTGTCACTAGTGTGACAAATGCCAGTGACACTGTTTTGTTACTGTGTGTAGTGAGAAGTGTCTGTTGCCAGTAGAAGATGCATAGCACTAAGTAATCATTTGGCTTTTCCTCCGCAGAATTAATGCCATTAATTATAATGTTAATATTTTCTTAAAATGTGAAATAAAAAAGCAAGTATTTCAGTAGCATTCATTACCTTTCTTTCTGGAATCAGTGTTATTGAGGGTTGAACGATAGATAGATAGATAGATAGATAGATAGATAGATAGATAGATAGATAGATAGATAGATAGATAGAAGACAGAAACAGCAATTCTAGGCCAAATGAACCCAAATACTCAAATCCCACAATAATGAAATTCTGTGTTCCATAAGAAAAGGATGTCTTCTGTAGCACATCATTAGGCTTACACACTATTYCCCTTACTGGATCTGGTTCTGCTCRGGCTCATAGAGTTCTGAATTGAGAGGTACGGGTAGCAACCATCTCTCTTGTCCTTTATTGAGAAGAAAATTTCCGTAGAACAATGCAGTCCATTTTACAAGGATTCTTTTCTAACTGAAGTTAAGGAAGTTAAAGTTGATATTAGCAAAGTAGTACCTTATACTGTATCACAGCTTCTAAATAATTCATGGTTGTAGTTTGGGTTTTGTGTTTAGCTTTTTTTCCTCCGGTGTTTGTTACCTTTTTGGTGGAGGACTGTATTGGTGCTGGAACAGCAACATATAGACTTTTCAGAAAAATTCACTACTTCCATGTGATGTAATGTATAGTCTCAGTTTTGGTGTTTCAGTCTCTTAACTGGCATAGAAACAGTGATTATGCTTTGCCTGTGCTATGCAAGAAAAAGTATCTTGAAAATGTCATGGTCCCTATGCACTGAATTTTTTTGTCTGATTGCTTTTGCAAAAATTTGCRAGAYTGTAAAGACATTTGCAAAGCAAGTRRGCCATTTTCTGTCCCTGCYCATGCCYCAAACCTATTAATAGCATTTGTTCAGAAAGGAGGATTTGCTTACATATGTTTCTAAACAGTAATAATGTGCAAGAAAAATAAGTAAATTAAATGATGCCTCCTCCCCTTCCCCCAAATATTACAAAGAAATGAAGAGCTCATTTCATTGATTTTTCCAATACAAAATTTTCTTTGCAATTACTGGAGCTAATAAATAATCAAGTGTCTAGAGCTGCCTGCTCGTCAAGGAGTTCTCATAACAGAAAAATATCTTTCCAGGCACTRCCTAGAATTCACAACTAGGAAAAAAATGTTTTAGTTTGAGTAGCATGCAAAAGTGCTTTCATTAGGGAACTAGAAATTTGGTTTTCCCTAAAAGGAAGTCTCAGTGCTTCTTCCTCTTTTTAGTAGCCAGTAGGAAAAAATGCTTTTATGTCTAATTTCCTTTTACTTTAAATTCTGCTTAGGATAGAGATCCTAATTTAAGAATTGATTATTGTTGCTACATCCTTCCCTGTTGAGAAGAAAATACTTTTTTCTTGAGACCAATTCAACAAACTGTTTTTGTTTGTATGTGAAAGGACACAGACAACAGAATTACTTTTTTTCATTCCTCTTGGAGGTGAGCCGAGACTTCCTGAGGTTAGAACAGTGTCAAGGAAGTAGGTTTTAAAACCRTGAAAAAAATACTTTTGAATGTAAGGCTACAGCCATCCCTCCCTAGTCTCTCATTTTAAATAGCATTTTAGATGAAGTCTGCCAAGAATAAAGACAAATGTGTTAAAGAAAATTMAAAAAATGCTCTTCTGTACATGAATAGCAAGCCAGTGTTCTCATGTGTTAAGAATTGTATGTCAGAGTTGAAGGGCAGAGAAGAATTCAGGRAACCATCTGCACCTGTACTGCTTTAGGAGAAAATATTTAGGAAAGCCTTTCAGAGAACATTAAAGTGTGTTTTTTCTCTTTAGCTTGTAGTAATTATTGGGCATTGTTGCAAATTTCTGTTCAGTTCTGCTCTTCAAGGGTGTTTCCTGTTGGCTATTAAATTATTGGCATCACTGCCTCTCGGAGAAGCGGAGAAGCCCTGTGTGTGCCCTTAGTGTTGCACACTGTCACCTGTCATGTCCATGTGCGCTATTACAGACCTGGTTTGTGTTACCCTGCAGTCAAAGAAGTGTCTCCTCCACAGATTCTTGTTGTAGGTACATCCACAGTTACTTCAACTTTGATACCTGTGGTGTTACCGTAGTGGTAATTTCGTTCATGGTTTGGGGTGGGAAGAAGGAAGATAAAATTAGTTTTGGATCATGACAGCACACTAAAAAGTCTCTTCAGTGGTTGCATGTGACTTTATGGTAGCAATAGGTGAAGTATTTCTGAAGCATGCTTTTGGGTGAATATTTCTCCTAAGCTTAGTTGAAAGCTTTGCGTAGGTATCATAGACAGCGCCCTTTAAATGCTGTAATGCATTTGAAATTATATAAGAGAGTTTGTGTAGACATAAGGCAAAATTCTCACTGAGTTYGAATGGCTATATTTAGTGAGAAGAGTGTTTTATTAAGGGCCAGGCACATATTACTTGYGGGTAAAAGGAACTTTTAAAAATAGTCTCAGCTCTTGGGCCAGACTTCCCTTTGAWAGCAACAAAAGCAACTTATTTTCCCCCAGTTGATAGGTCTTGCATTGAGAAAAAACTTCAGTCCTGTAGAGTGATTTTTGTGTACCAGTTCCCCAAGGCTTGGCGCTGCATCTGCCTCCTCTGGGACTGACTGAAATGTTCACATAGAGATCACTGCTAACTGTCAGTGGAGGTTTAGAAGTTTTTTTCTTCATAATTTAAAATATATTTATGGTTGAAAAATATACTTTCAACCCATTCTCTATAACAATTGTTGTAACGATCTGCTCTCATCTCCATCTCCTTTTTAATGTTCTTTTTCCATTGTGTTTTCTTCCCTTCTTAAAACAGTGGATAAAGTTTCACGTGACATTGAGTTAAAAAAATTAACCCCAGGTCCTGTATCTGATGGTTATCAGTCATTGGTTTAGAAGGAAGGATGTATAGGCTGAGGATATCCCCATATTCTTTACTATTTTCCAGTGTTCTCCAGCTCAGTGATTTCCTGAAATGGAGGTTGTGGCTTTAGGCTAAGCCTTCTTTTTTTTCTTGTTTCTTTTTGTTTGTTTTCAGGGTTCCTTCAAAGAACTGATACTTTATTTTGAAGTAATAGTCCTTCATGCGGAAATCCATTCTTATCTCTATTGGCGTTTTTTACCTACTTTCTTTGTAGAAATAGCTGGAGTGATTGTTCCTAATATCCATGAATGCCAAAGTATTGTCACTCTTGATGTTTTCCATTGCGATGGTACCAGTGGTGTTCTCAACAATTATCTTATCCCATGCCCAACTCCAACACATGCACTGTGCCACCCTATGCTACTATGTACTTTGATTCTGGACATTTTTGCCTGGAGGCAGGATTTTAATGGTTGTAGCTATTAATATCTCTTATTAAATGTAGAAGATTGTGAAAACACAGATATTTTTAAGTTGGTTTTTTTGTGTTATCACTCAGGAGAAGTCCTTTCATATTATCTGGTTTGCAGTCATTGCATGCCTTTGAAATAAATTATAGATGAATGTAATACTGTGAATGAGGTCATACAAATACRGTTTAGTTCTTGGCACCTTGTACATGAACTAATTATTGCATTTTTTCCCTTTCTTCTTTTTAGAGTCTTTCATCATACTATAARGGAGGATTTGAACAGAAAATGAGTAGGCGAGAAGCAAGTCTTATTTTAGGTGTAAGGTAGGTGTGTTGCATCAATATTTTTTTAGTTTAGGAAGTATTGAATGAAGCAGATGGATATTGCAAATGTGGAATACTCTTGCCCAAACCATAACTTCTTTTGTAGAAGACTTCTAATGGCTTATAAATTATTCTAATATTCTGTTTAAACTGAAAAACAAACAATAAAACGCTCATAAAACATGTGACTTTTGTTTGGATTGAAGGCATGGTAACATACTGCAATTGAGAATTGTTCTGGCTGTGCCCTGGGTCCCTTTCAGCAGAGCCACTCCCCAGCCTGGCATTCCCCAGCCTCTTGCATTGCAAGGGACGCTTCCCAAGTACCAAACTCTCTGCACCCATCCTTGTGGAATTTTGTAAAGGGTTCCCATCCAATTCCTGCAGCCTCTCGAGCTGTCCMTAAATATCAGCCCTGCCCTCCAGCRTATCAGCTGCTCCCACTACAGGGATAGACTTCTTGGCCAGTTGGTGATGTTAGAATGTATCATGACGTTGGTGTGACTCAGATTGTGAGTCAAGCAAATTGTGCCTTTGACATTATATATTTGTTTCATAGTGATTAAGCATCTTTAGAGACCATAATGGGATAACTAATATCTCATAAACTAAGCAAATTTAAAGTAAGTCCCTATTTTCACAGCTGCTTCTGTGAGCAGACCTGCGTGATCTTTTGTAATATGYAATTGCCACTTTTCCCCAGGTGTGCTTTGGCCAGTCTGAGGTTCTAAATATGGTATAGGAGCTTTCATTTTTAGTATTAAAAAGAGCTTTACAAATCAAAATACAGATGATTGTTATTTATAGTTGTGTGATAAATCGTTTTGGTTTTGTATTCATATAATCCAAGGCCTTTCACCCTCTGTTTGATTCTTACTTTCTAGGTTACTTTCTGTTCAATTGAAGTATTCTTTTCTTATGCAGTTCTGTGAACTATTTTTTCAGCATACCCTAATTTCACTATGACAGAATAATAATTAGAGAGGTTGTTTACCTCGGGAATTTAGTTGGGCTGATACCTTGCATTCAAGCTGTATCTACAGAAAGATTAATTAATTGAATCATCACTGATTAAGAAGTCACCTGAAGTGGAAAACACTGATTCATTTCTGCATACTAAYAAATTATAAAAAACTGAACCATTCAAACTGTCCTTTTGCATACAAGAGCCCTACTGTGTTGGCATACTGCATCCATAAGTGGTTATTTGTCTCGTAAGGTACCTATTTTGTATTTAATTTAGGCAAAGTACATATTTTATGTATGTCATTGAAGCAAACAACATTATGTGGGTAGCACCTGTAAATCAGRACGTCCCTGAATGTAACATGTTGAACAGCTTTGCAGAAATAACACATACAGGGATTTTTTTTCAGGCCCCAGCAGAAAGAAGAAATATTTACAGCTGCTATAAAAATATTTACAATAGAACAAAATGTGATAATATTAAATATTTGTTGTTTTGTCACTRGCCATAAAAATATTTATTTTCTTTGAGGAAGAAATGTGTTTTCTGCATTTAATGCTAGAATAACCAACCAGATATACCCTAGAACTGCTGGGGCTTTCTTGGGTTTTTTTCACTCTTTTTTTTTTTTTTCTAAATGGGTGGATGTATTGCATTTTACAAAAACCTGAAAGATATTTGTATGTGTCAAATACACAGGCTTTTGAAAAACACCATTCTCTGTGTCTTACATGCCTTTGTTGTTGTTGCTTCCTCAGAGATGCAGTTTTATGTTTTGTCCACAAGATGGTGAAAATCTCAAGTTTTAATTATTTTTGAAGCCAGTATAAACTGTTAATTTTTAGCCTGAGTGCTCTGGCATTTCTCATAAGCACTTAAATTTGTTTTTGCAGTCCRTCTGCTGGCAAGGACAAAATCAGAACAGCACATAGGAAAATCATGATTTTGAATCATCCTGATAAAGGTAATTATTACTTTTCTTAACCAGGAAAGAAGAAGCTTAAATGAGATCCGTTAAGTCTTCTGAGTGTGTAAATAACCACRTCGAGTGCAAACATTTGTTGTTTATTTATTGACTTGAACTTCTATGTCTTCTTTCAGATAAAGTGAGCTTTATGAACCAGTTTTATTCATCTTTMTTTAAAGTTGTTTTCTGTACTTGTGCTGCTTCAGTTAAAACYATGAGCTCAGGGACCTGTTTTCCGCACTTCACTAAAACTTCTTAAAAAMTAAAAATAAGCTATAAAAATTTTACATTAGACTAAAATTCTGTTTTGAACTGTGACAGACCAGGTGCATGCATGAAAGTAACTTTCTGTGGGGAAATGTTTTGCAATTACTAAGTACATCATTGATGAATTTCAGACTTCATTGAAGTCACTTGGAAAAAATGTAAAGCTGGGCACTGTTGCTTTACTGGCCGGGTTTTTAATGTAAATTTATCTTAGAGAAAGGCTATTATTATAACTTTAACTACACTACAGCTGGTTGAGAAAGAAAGCCCATATGTTCGTTGCTGTTTCTACTTTAAAATAACAGATGGTGAAGAGTTACACTGTATTTCAGAAGTCAAAAGGGGAAATCAGATAGATTTTATATCTTCTTGACAGAATTACAGGGCTCCCCACCAGCACCCCATTTTAAAAAATGAAAAAGTAAGTGTGACCACTGGCCATGGGAAATGTTTAATTGATGCTTTGCTTTTCTCTCTGCACCACTCAGTTTAAAGTTGTCCTGCTTGTTTGGTTTCAGCCTTTTTTTTTTTTTTTTTTTTTTTTTTTTTAAATGTATAAGCTGCACAGACCCAGAGAAGAAGTTCTCTTCGTTTCTTGTGTATTACAGTGGTCAAAACTCTTTTTACCACCAGAGTACCTATTAGGTCAAGAGTTTTTTTCATTATGAACTTCTAAGTTTGTTGTATCAGGATGTGGAGATGTGAGCCAGAGAGAAATGTGAATCTCCATGTGGATAGAGTAGATCTGAAGAGATTGGTCCTGTCAAGAAGATCCTAATGACCCTAACAAAGATTTTAATGCTGGGCTCTTAGTGTTTTAATGACCCTGCAGCTGGGCACAGTGTAGGTTTGGATGGATGTAGTGGGCCCTCCTGCRTGCTAGTGAGACATGGAGCAATTTTTTTAGTAGGAATACCAGCTGAAGGGATTTKTGCCTCTCTGATGCCCCTGAAGGTCTTCTGGCATGGCTGTAGAAAAGAAAGTGTAATATTTTCAGCTGCAGAGTGAGGGCCTGGAGTAATCTTGAACATGTGGCATCGCAGAGAGGCTTGTTTGCTTGTGTATAGATCAMTTCTGGCTGTGGGTAGCACAGATGTTCTTTTAAAAATAATATTCAATGGTATGATGTAATTTTAAAATAATGTTTTACCACCTGGAGTTGACAGAAGAAAGGGCAGTAATTACAGATTTTAAGTTACATGTGTTCTGAGATCCAAACTGTTGGAAAATTATTAGAAATAAATAAGAAATGTATAGAAATCTGCATGTTAACTTCCCTAGAGAGTACTACTGAAATGGTTCCTTATGARCCTTACAGTTAATTTTTAAAGTGTTTTTATATTGATATGTTGTAAGTTAATTTATCAGTTATTGATTTTATGAAAGAACATTTCCTCAAAGAAAAAAGGGAAGAGAGAAACCCTTTGGACTTGYCTTAATTATAAACAAACACCTAGGCAATCATGAGACTGAATTTCCTCTCATTGGAGGACTACAAAATTAATATAGCACTTAAGGATGTAAATGTAGTGAAAACACTTCAAGCACAAATTCAAGATTTGAATTTACTTTAAGATCCTGTACTCTAGACATGGAGAAAATCAATGCACATTTAAAAATTACTTGGAATAYATTGTTTATTGCAGATTTTAGTCTTTTACTATTTGTTTGATCCTCTTATCTACTTTGTAAAGAATCACTACTTCAGTAAATCCTACTCCTTGCTACAAASCTACTTGATTTAAAAAAAAAGAAAAAAAATTATTATTTTTTCAATAGCCAATTCATTACCCATCCCTTGCCCTGCCTCACTTTCTCCAGTGTGACTTACCTATTAGAACTGCACACAAACAAGACCAAACTATGGGGGGAAAAAAAATCTTTATTTTTTTCCAGTTGTTTTACTACACCATTAAAATACTTTATACTGATTTGGATTCCTGCAGCAATGTCCTGAAGAAGTCTTTCAGCAAGCCTTACCTTTTTGTTTTTATTTGTGTGTGTCTGCAATTAGCTCTGCGTGTTTCTTCTTTCACTTTTTTTTCCTGATTAATAGAATGAATGAAATGGTGAATGAAAAAAAAATATGGTTAAGCAAATGTCTTGGGAAAAGCTATGCAGTGCACAGTACTGCTGGAATCACATTTTCACATAAAAAGATAGGTGTATTGTAGTAAGTGGTAAGTTACTGATATAGACCTTGTAGTGTTGTTTTTGGTGACTGTGGGCAGATGGTTGGCACTCAAGGGGAGAGTGAAAAAAACCCAAACACAAAAAGACTGCTGAACTGTGCTCAGATTGTTAGATGGAGCGTAGAGCAATGACAGTGTTCAGCGCTAGAAGTTAGAAGGCATACCATGTTGAAATAGCTTTAATGTGTTGATTTCTGGCTGGTAACTCTGGGCATCTCACACAGGAGATGCTTGCACAATAATTCTTTGTCTAAATTATTTTGAAATTTGCCTCTTGGTTTTGGGATGAGTGAAGTAATAGCTGTTAGGTTTGAGTGAATGTTCAGGACAGCTGACCTCACATACATTTACAGAATCATCCCACTGCTGATCTAAATCACAGAATGTAAAGTGATTTCAGATTTCAGTCTTCTCTCTGAGACAAATTGTTCCGTGTTATTTTACAGTGATTTCAGTTTTGCTTGCATTTATCATGTTTCCTTATCAATTTRTTTACTTCTTATCAGTGTCACTTGTATCAAAAGGATCTGTGTAGGAAGGAGCTAATAAAAGTGAATAATAGTTTGGTTCTTAATACTAATGTGTAAACAGTATTCCTTTCTCCTTTCTCTTCTCAGGTGGATCGCCTTACTTAGCAACAAAAATAAATGAAGCAAAAGACTTGTTGGAATCCAGTGCCAAAAACTGAAACCCGAAGCCTTGGGTCATTCAGCAGATACATTGTGCAATACCTTTCATGTCTGCTTGCTCTGCACAGTTCCTTAACAGTGATTGTTCATATTTATTGTCATCATTAAAATGTTAAGATTATTTAAAAGCAAACTGTAATCTTTGACAGTTAGGTAAAGTTATGTACATTATTTCCTTGCAAGGAGCGGGGAGTTGGACTTGATCCTTGTGCATTCCTTTCAACTCGAGATGTTCTATGAATCTGTCTCACTTTTAGTGTATTTTTACTGAATTATGATCATTTACAAGCTTTGAAAAAGTTCTCTTAACTCTGTTTTTTTCAGAAGTACTTGTTTCTTTCGTTGAATTTTGGATCTTTTAAAATATAATTTTAAAAACAGTCTTAAATACAGGGTTGTTTTTTCATTAGTCAAGAAGCAGCCCTATCTTTAGGGTCACCATAAAATCTGTGACAGAGTACTGAGTCACAGGAAATATGGCAGATCCCACTTGGCAAGTTTTCAGCACCATCTTGTGCTTGCATCTGCTCATTCGTGAATTATTGTTCATGGGTGCACTTAGAGAGGTGCAGCTTAAGACAATGACTGATGACAATGACTGCTGACTGCAGCTTGCATTAGGTGTGTGTATKGGGCTTGGAGCTATGAAGGAAGATTCTTGGTTTTGGTTACTTCTTTTGCATATTAAAGGAACTCTGAAACTGTCTACTTATTTACATGTGCTTTTACTTCAAGTCATGGAGTCAGTTTACTTTCTAGCAGTTGGGGTAGTGTGAGGGTTTTCATGGCAGTGGGACTGAAGAAGGTGGATCCCTGTGGCAGGGTTTAGGTAGATTTTCTGGGCTGCTGTTGTCTAGGTCAGCCCAGTCACGTGAGCCTGGTGTAGGACTGATACAGCAGRGAACAAACAGGACAGTACCTGCTGTGCACAAGGAAAGTTTCCTGGGTTGGTTCTCCAGTAATGCTCACATTTCTGCATTATRCTTCATGTCCCAAAGCATACATACCTCCCTCCTTATGCAGCATCTTAGCAATCTAGTTCTGGCTTTGGGGAATCCTGAAGTCATGGATTTCAGACTTTAAAGAGAACAAGTTTTAATTGACAGCTGAGAGTAGGTGATATTTGGGACACTTGGCTGCTGCAGATTTCTACCAGTAAGTTGTCTGCAGATGAAGTAAATCTAAGAGGAAACAGTCTAGTACATTGAATGCAAGACTGGAAAACTTCCTTGTCTCCWTTCAAATTCTATCATTAGCAAACTGCAAACAGCTTGCTGAAGTGCTGCAAATACAAAATTTAGATATTCCATTCTCTAGGTTATTTAGCCAGAGGCTAGAAGCAGTTAATATGAGGTTGGTTGCATTAATTATTTATTCACCAGAGCATGCATTTGTAGTTCATTCAGTGGTGGATGTTGAGATTACRTGGATTTTTCCTGAGAGGAAGAAAAAATAGGAATTATTTTTTTTATCAGATTCCTCACACCTTGTCACAATTCCCTTACTTTCATTAAAGGAAGATGAAAAAATTTTAAGTTGACCCTAAAAGAAAATACTAATTTTAGGTAATTTAGAGACTTCATTGCAATTGGAGTGGCAAGACATAGTGGCACAATTTCACTGTATAAAGCAAAAATGACCGCCAGGAGAAACCTGCCTGGGAATACTGTACATAAAACTAATGCTCTAATGCAAGTAGCTTTAATGAAAATAGTTTAWTCCTTTGCAGTAGCTTTAATTGGTTCTTGTTAAGGTGTAGCCATAAATTAATGCACATTTAGTGTTAGTCATTCCTTTCATCAGTACGTCAGTCTGTATTTGCAAAAAATAGAATCATGACCGTTTTCATTTTGGGAGGAGACAAGCGGGATRGTGATGTTCCTACTTTTCTGAAGTGGAATCTGTAAGTGATCTGAATCATTTTGCAAAAGCAAAATTGATGTGAATGGTAGGTAGCAAAAACATTCTGCTTAATGATTTTGAATTGACTAGCTGTTGTTTTCATATAGCTAAATTTTCCTGAGTAAAATGAGTTGCAGAGCTCTCTCAAATGCATTAAAGATGGCTATTTGCTCTGTTCTTAAAAATGAACTTCCCATGTTTTTTAAGAAGTACAGGGTTTGTTTTCTTTTGAGATTCTGCTGTCGATAATTTCCTTCCTGATCGAATTATTTGTATCTGATTATGGCAAAACACTTTTCTGCCTTTCAGTTATGAGTTTTTGTCCTTCATAACAAAAAGAAACAAAACCGAGTTTTAGTTCTGCTTTCTCCCCTTTTTTTTCAGAGCAGACTACTGACCAGTTAACAAATTTGGTAAGTTAAGAAATTAAAAAATTCCACAGATTAACAGGCTTGAGCTATCTCTGGAAAATGCTGCAAAATGAATAAAGCTAATGAGTAGTGGTTGTAAAAGCATCACACATAGAATAGCATATTTTRTCTTGTCTGTTTACTTGCACAGCTTGCTTTACCTACTAAGTGATGTTTAGAAGGATGAATTTAGGACAGGGAAAGGCAAATCACAGAAATGCTGCTCAATTTGTTATTGCTGATAGTCAATATGGCAGGCTGAGGAATGTCTTTGGAGATTGCCTTGCAGAAGAGCACCTGGATTGATGCTCAGCTGGGCTAGGAAGAGCAGTATACTATTATTTTTAAAAACATAGCCTGGTAATTTAATCTTAAAAATATTCAGCCTCTTGGGACTATTTTCTTTRCATGTCAGATGCATCTGTTTTTTGTGTAAGAAAAGTGCGTAGAGGTTGATCTATGGTGCAATTTCTGTCCATCAGTAGTAACAGCAACAAGCAGAGTCATTTTTCATATGTTGCTTTAATATTCAGAAAATGTTCATCTGTACTTCTTAGCTTGGGAATACCCAGGTAGTTTTCTACTTGGATGATAACTAGTCCCAGATATCCTCTACAGCTTCGTAAGTCAGGCAAGACTGAGTGCATTTATATGGCATTGCTRTGGGAGATTCCCAGTTTATTTAATGAAACAGAGTTTGCTCATCTGCCTGGTTTTTGCTCTTAGTTGTGGGAGTTTTACCTGGTATTTCATCCTTTACTCTTGATGCAGCGGTAAGGCATAGGTTTATAAGAAGACCCAGAAATCTGGTTATCTGCCTRTGCATGAGTGAAACTTGCAAAATTTTGCTGACTTAGGATGAAACTGGGGTAGAATTGAGACCATAAAAACAAAGGCACAATTCACAAAACCTTTGCCTGATCTTCCAGGTAGTTTTAAAGGTTAAAATWCACTCTCCTGTATGGTTAGATTTTTGCTTCTGTATAGGTGTAAAATGACTTCCTTCTTGCAAAGGCTTTGCAACACTTTTCTCATCCTTAACAGATTGGGTGTCTGGTGTTCTTCAGTTTCTTGAAAAGCCTGACCTGGTATCTGTGGTTATAGGGTGCCTCGTCAGCCTGGGTGTGAAAATCACAATATCTGAAGTGCTACTCAGGTGAGACTGGAGATCAACTGGGTTGAGGAGGTGACAGTGCTTGCTCTGCTTCCTGCYGCAGCTGTGCTGCTCAATGTGAGGCTCATAAAGCCTGCAAGTTTCCTGGGCCTGAGTGCTGAGCTCCRGGCAGCTTCCAGCTGTGAAATGATGTCTAAACAACATGTGGAAATTCACCAGCTGAGGTATTACTGACTTCCTTAAGAGCCCCACTTCCCACAGGTTGGTTTTTAGGGTCTTTCCTTTAATTCACACTTCTGTGAGCTTCTATATGCTAGTCTGACTTCAGCAAGCATTGTAATAGACTAGCACTAAGTGGCCAGCTGAACTTCCCAGAACTTTTTAGTTGAATTGTGACAAAGTGAATGCTTTCCTTGGGTCATAAACAGCATCTTTTTGTGGGTAGATTGCAACACCAGATTAGTGAATTTGCATCATCASCAGCATAATCGTGGGACTTTTGAATGTTGTCATTTCAACGATTGCTCTCAAGCAAGAGGTTGTATGTGTATGTACATGTATGTATAAGCACGCACAGGTTTGTACACTTACACATGGCTTTTCAGGATCCTGTGTGAAATTTTGCAYCTGTGTTGGGTGCAAAACACACTTTTTTAAAAATAATACTTTTCTTGATTTTTTTTTTTTACTAAATTTTCCAAATCAAATCAAGACAGCAAAAATAATGCTAAAGTAAATTGCACATCTTAATTTAATTATGTACATTAATAGGAAGCCAGTTTAAAAARAAAATCAACACACATTGYCCAATTGTCTCTAATTTTTGCATTTTATTGAGTTTATTCTCAGTTTTGCTCTGGTATGGATACATACAATGTAGTTATGAGTCTTTTAAAGCAATAGTGTTCTTCTGTCGTACTGTATTTGTATAAGGTCCACGTACCCAGCTTTTTTTAAAGGAGGCAAAAGTAAAAAAGACAGCTTTTCKGGATGTTGCCCAAATAAAAATTTCTGTTTTCAAATGATTAAAATTTCAGCCTCATTTAAAATATACTTTTGTATTTTACTCTGGGGGCATTGAGTAGGAGGGAGGGAATTCTAAATCGTTATTTGATGTCTTACTGATTGTGAATGGTCAATGAACCATGGACTGAGAAACTCCTCTCGTGAATACTTAAATTGTAAGCCTAGTTAGCAATACACCTACTTCCTTTATTATTAGGAAATCACAAAAYTATACTTAGAATGAGAAGTGTCATTTTGACAATGGTAACATCATCAGATTAATATTCTTAAGATTTTTCAAGAGGTAGTTATGGTACACAGAGTAATTGCTCTACAGCTTCATGTGACATTAAAAYGCCTCTACTGTGCTTTTGCAATTTCCTTATTTATATACTGGCTTATACAAGGAGAGGTTAATTAGGAGGATTTTTTTTTTAATATGGCAAATATTTTATCTAATAAATGCTTGTTTTAAATAGTGGCAAAGTTCTTCAAAATGATAYTGTGATTTAAACATTGCATGAAGTGTGGTTATGGATGCAGTGACTTCTGACTGTTGGATTTGATCTGGGTAATTTGGACGTTCCTTACATCTGGCAGGTGAGTGCATGGTTTGTGTTGCAAAGAACAGTAAAGGTCCTAAACAGTCCAGTGAATACATTTTGACTCTTACAATGTTAGGACGCAATTCTTCACTAAGCGGGTAGTGAGGCACTGTTATTGAGAGAAGTTGTGGATGTCCCATCCCTGGAAGTGTTCAAGGCCAGGCTGGATGGGGCTTTGAGCAACCTCGTCTAGTGACCATGCCACACCCATGGCAGGAGCGTGGGAACTAGAGGATCTTCGATGTCACTTCCAGMCCAAACCATTCTGGGATTCTATAGTGTAATGAAAGAAGCATAAACAAAATTATAGTGAAGAACTCAGTTAATAAGTTGTTGGCATGATTGTGAATGTATGGAAGTGGTTTTGGAGTCTTACTCTCTGCAGAGGCTGGTTTKTCCTGGATTTTTTCCTGTTCAACAAACTTATCAGTGACCTGGAAAAGCAGACTGAACACTCATCACATTTACAAATGATCCCAAATGGCATGAACCACTCATTACACTGGAGGGAAGAGCTTGCATTTAGGAGGACCTGGAGAGGCTGCAGGAATGGGGTGATGGGAATCTACATGAAATTCAACACGGATGGGTGCAGAGCCAGGTAGCCAGACAGGAAGTGCCCCTTGAAGTTCTAGGGGTTGGGGAATGCCAGGCTGGGGGGTGATTCTGCTGAAAGGGGCCCAGGCCACAGCAAAAGCAAGAGTCAGTGGCATGTCCTGGTGGCAGAGAGGGACAACAGCCTCCAAGCTGTGTGAGCGGGAGCATGGTCCCCAGATCAGCAGAAACAGCTCTGCTTCTTCACTGAGCCCAGCACACTGAGCTGTGGCACCCAGTTTGGGGACCTCTTAACTGGAAAGACATTGGCCAGCCATACCAGATGCAGCAAAGACCATGCAATGGTTGGGGATTGGAGCACTTGCCCTGTGAGGTGTGAGGAAGGGCCGAGGGAGTAGGGATTGTTCACCCTGAAAATGGAAAGCRCTGCTAGGGGACCCTGGAGCAACCCTCCAGCACCATAAGGTCATGAAGAGCATGGGTCCAGGCTCTCCACAGTCACATATGGTGGRAGGTTGACAAAAAAGGGGCACAAGTAGACCAGGGAGGTGCAGGTTGGACATAAATAATACTGTTTCACCCCACAGTCCAGTGGTGAAACAGGTTGCCCGGAGAGGTTGTATGTTCTCCTTCCTTGAGAGTTGAAATTTCAAAATCCACTGTTCTGACCCTGCAGGTGGCCTTGCTTTGAGCAGCAGGTAAGACTAAGGACCTCCTGAGGTCCCTCCTGAAGTCCTTCCCGAGCTGAATTGTCCTATGCAAGGAGATCCAGTGGGACCAGATCACAGAGGTATAATAACAAAAGGGTCACATCAGGGAATTATCCCTGATGTGCAATAGTTCTATGCATGGCTTTTGTTTTCTTGCTTTTTAAGAAGTCTGAAGTACAGCTGAAGTTAGAATCATGTTTAAAATAGTCTTGAGAGGGGCACAGTACAAAATATGGGTATTTTAATACTGCTCTKTGTTGGTGTCCTGGAGTCAGGGGACTCGGTCCAGTCTTGGTGCTGCTGTCCAGTCAGTCCTTGGTTCTTAATACTGGGTGGTGGGAAGCCTTCTAGTCTCCCCTGGGCCAAGAACAAAAACATTCTGCCTTGTAAAACTGCCAGTGGCCCAAACAGACAGAAATAGCTCCCCAAATCATGGGCACCTAGTTACTGTGTTCAACAGCGGGCCAGCTCATAAYTGTATGGTGCTTCCTGCACTGGTGTCAGTGGGAATTTCTGTGGAAGGAACTGCTGCAGGGGACAAATTGATCATCTAAGAAAGGCTTAAAGATCTGAGTGCAGAGGTTACTGACAGSAGATCAGGTTTCTTGAATTAAGTAGAGAACTCCCAGAGTCTCAGGTTTATTTTACTCACAGTGGGGAAGAGGCAATGTGATTCCCATTTGAGATTAAAAAAGTCCTTTGCAATCTCCAATTTGTTATATTTCTTCTGATCTTAATTTATTATTTAACCACCAGTCCACATCGCTCTCAACAGCACATAGATACCATTTCAGCAGGGCTTTAAATACCTGCAGAGCAAGCTGGGATCCAGGAGCTGTTCTACAAAGCAATATCTGCAATTACATTACGTGCCCAGTTGACATCCCCATATGTTGTTATTACACAATTAAATATTTCAGTGTTTGGTGAGTTGGCTTTGGTCTTTTCCACCACTCCCATCATAAGGATACAATCCTGCAGATTTTTCCAGGGCTTCTGCCTTCCCTTCAAACCATCTTCTCAATAACTGTGAAAGTGCCCTCACTATCTGTCTTTTTCTTCGTGCAACCACTCTAGTTCCAGTCTTCAATAATTCATGATCTTTCAGGAGGTGCACCGAAATGATTTTAGCTGCCTCCAACTTTTTTGGACAGAAGGATAATAAAAATGATTTCGCAGTAACTAAAGTAAGTCAGTTCATTGGTGAAAGCACTTAAATATATCTTATTAGCTATTCAGGAGGAAGGTTTTACTAAAGGTACAATGCATTTATGTATTAAAGTGCAGCTCAGCTCCTGAAAAATGACTATGTAAATAAGCACTTGTCACATCTTATTTTTGTTGATTTTTTTTCTTCTCCCTCTAAACTTGTTTTTTGCTGTTAACTCTGTTGCTGTTGTGGTTTTAACCATGAAGTAGCTGGATCCTACTCCTAGTGGAATTAATTGAGTTACACTTGTGTGTAGCCACAAATGAGCCACTGTTACTGGCATTCTTACAAGACAGAAGGCACAAGTCAGTGTCACCCATGGCACCGTCTCGCACAGCAGCTTTTGGAATATGATTTTTGAGACTGAAAGATCAGGTTTTGGTCTAGTTTCTAAGTTTGGGGGGAAAAATAGGACTGAGAATACTGAAACAAATCCACAAAATGTTTTAAACTCTTAATTTCCACTGGACCTGACAGTGTGTCAGTGTGTCCAGTGAGAGGCCAAGAGTCACTTTGGCTCCAACAGCATCCATGGGTCATCTAAGTCCCTAGTTTCTTGATGTCTGGGCTTAGGGGTGATTATCATTGATAGAGTTAATTCTAGCACTGTGCAGAGACATGACATAGTCCTAGAGAACCAGAGATTAAATCAAGTTAAAGCATAACTGCAGTACCTTCCAAAAGTGAGGTGAAGAAAACAGCTGGGGAGGTGTTTCTCGAGTACAAGTCTGACTGCAGACATCGTAATTCATGTAACTCAAATGTTTGGCTCCTTTTATCTGTTTCAGATCTYGCTGTTAGCACCTGGGTACTTGTATACAAAGAATAGTTGATAGCACAATCACAAAAGCAATAAACAGCCTTACAAAGACATAGATCTAAGGTGACTCTTTCAAGTGGAATCTTACWTTAAGCRCRATTTCAATGTCACATATCATAATTGCATCTAATATTAGAGACTGACTTAATGCAACACAATGTCAATGACAATATAAAGGCAATCACGAACAGATAGGATAACTGAAAACTGTTTGRGGGGATGGAAGGAAGGATAACACTATAGGGAAGGCTTCTGTAAACATTACAAACCTATTCAGCAACAGGTGGAGAAATTTTTTTTCTCTTCAAATCTTCTGGATGCTTTATTCCTGTTTCCATTTTGATACTGCAATGTGTTGGAATCACTAAATGTGATTTAGGGTTTGGGGATTTTGTCCCCTTCCACAAACTTGTGACTCTTATCTTCTGGTAAGCTGAAGTTACATATGTAAAGCTGGTTAGYGAGCTGAATAGTCTCTACCAGCTGCTGAGAATCAAATATGTATGAAAGGGTTTTCTTCCCCTCAGCAACACATAYCCTCCCACCCCTAAAAGGGATATGGTTTAAAAGGTGTGAAGCTAGACTGTTTGTGCTCTATTAGTCTGAATGCAGAGTGAAAATGTCACACATCTTCCTTAAAGACTCTGAGTCTCTATCAGATTTTTTGTGGATATAGGTACGAACAGTGTGGCCTGCACGTGTGTCCCCCTTGCAGTGCTGCTTGTGGTGGAGCTGTAATTTCAGTGAATTGAAACAACATCAGCTGTTCTGCACAGTGTCTGGCTTGCCCTGATGTGAATGCAGACGTGCACACAGAGCTGCTGCAGAGGAGCTGCYTTTGGCATCTTAGACCTGCTTGTGCCAGCACTCACGAGGATCCTTTGTGTGCTGCAGGTCTGGCTGGCCCATGGAATCACAGAATGGAACCACAGACTGTCCTGAGCTGGAAGAGACCCACAAAGATTAATGAGCCCAACTCTTCTCCCCTKGTCTCCCTCTCCTCACCAGAGGAATGGATTTATTTATGCCTGTATCTCTTCAGCTGAAATTCTGTGGCAAAATGAGAGATAGATTGCACCTTACAAAATCCATGAAATCAAGGCAAACTTGCAGAGGTTGGCACAGCAGCAGGTGATGGTTTAAGTTGTTAAACACACAAACCTGCTGGGCTTYTTCTACTCATTTAAACAGCTTCCGCCCCAGACTACAAAAAACCCCATCAACCCAAAACAAAACCAAAAAGTAAGCAACTCAGAGGTTCAGGCAGCATCAGTTGTACTCCAGTGTCACTGATTTGTCATGAAAGCCAGGTTGCTGGAGCTCAAGCTGAGGAAAGCTTTAAATGTGACCCTATTGGAGTCTACACCTGAATTATAAGGATCTCCTACAATAGAATGAATTTCTTTTTTTTCAGAGGGCTGCCATTCTAATAATGCTTTGAATGTCAGCAGTGATAACTATTTCTAATTAGTTCTTCCAATTCTGTGAGGAAGGAAGGAAGAAATCCATAATACAAAATGAATTCTAATGAGGGATGAAACTCTCCTCCTAAGAAACAGCTCTCCAAGAGCT